GATGTTTTAAAATTTGTGACAGGGTTTTTTATAGAGGAAATTTTGTCCCAGATGTTGTCCCGGTGATGCTCGACAAGGTAATTGGGATCCATAAAATGGATTTGATTTGAAAATCTGTCTCTGATTGCAGTGAGATATCTACCTGTATTGTAATTTAAACTGTGAAGCTCCAGGTGTACTTCAGTCAATTTTGTTGCTTACTGAAAGTCATTGAACGCGGACAATGACTAACATTTACTTTTTTTTTACCACTTGTAATCCAGCTATTTTAGATTTTTTTGATTAATTGGAAAAACAATTGACATGTTATTATTCATAAGGATATATCTGTATGTATTTATACTTAGATATTTTTGCAACATTGCCCAGAGAAGGCCAAAATTAGAATTAGTTAAAGCAAAAGTATTTATTTATTCTAGTTAAATTACTCTCCATGTTTTTGTTATTACTATGCTGCCAAAGTGTCATTCTGCTGTAAGTCCTCCAACTGCCGCTCAAAACACAGCATTTGTAGAGAAAAGGTGAAGAAAAACATTTCATTTCAGTGGGTTAGTGGGACAAAGTAGACGACAATGGAATTGGGTCAGCATGTGTCTTCCACACACGCCGGCCTCCCGCCCCCCTGCTCACACATACATTGTTAAGACTTTTTAGCATAAAATTCTTTTCATCAAACATTCAACAGCCACACATGTTCATTATAACATACACACAATAACCTTAAAGCATGCAAACTGTCTTCCAGCCTCCTGTTGTTGATGTTTTTGACCTTGATGCCCTCGCAGCGTTGAGACAGTTCAGCTGCTGTTATTATTATCTGTGACATGCATGTACATAGACATGCATTTGCACACACATATGCATTTGTGAATGTAGTCATGCATGTTGACATGTGCAAGCGCACATATACAGTGTAACCCCCCCTCTTGCTTAGACATACTCCATTTCACATTCCACATTAGCGCTGTAATGTTGCCCTGTTACAAAGCCCCTCACCCATCAAGAATCCTTCAAAACAACTGATGAATGGTCACGCCACCAGGTTGAAGCCTCCATGGGTGGCCCTATCTAATCAACGTGCTCCAACATGGGGCCCTTTGCTTCTCAAACCATAGGGTGGAAAATTTAATGGACACACCAGACTGTCCTGGTATGGCCTTCTATACGCATTTGTGTAAAGGTGCATTTCCCCCTAAAGTAGAGCCCAACCCATCCTGGCTTTTGGGGATAATGCTTGTGGCGATTTTATCAAGTAAAAGAATTATATATATATATATATATATATATATATATATATATATGTGTGTGTGTGTGTGTGTGTGTTTGTGCTGACATATCATAAATATATATACATGTATATTAGAGTTATACTGAAAAGTGAAAATGATGGGCTCTTTGTTGTAAAATAGTTACCAACTTATCACGAAGACACAACTTGACTGCTCACCACCATCTGCTCAACTGTGCAAACTAAAAAAAAATTTAGCATTTCCCAATTTAAGCCTTTTTTTGTATGTGTTTTTCCTTTTAATCAAAAACCTCTTTTCATATTAGTACATGTCTGAGAACATCTATCCATTATCTGTACACTGCTTAATCCTCACTAGGGTCCTGGGGGGCTGGAGCCTATCCCAGCTGACTTAGGGTGAAGACAGGGGACACCCTGGACAGGTCACCAGTCTATCACAGGGCTACACTTAGAGACAGACAATCAAGCACACAAGCACACTCACATTCACACCTATGGACAATTTAGAATCATCAGTTAATCTCAACATGTTTTTGGACTGTGTGGGAGGAAGCTGGAAAACCCGGAGAGAACCCACACTGCATGAGGGAGAACATGCAAACTCAACGCAGAAAGATCCCCGGTGTCCTCACCGGGACGCGTGCTAACCACCGTTCCACCTTGCAGCCCTATCAGAAAACATGTACACCAAAATGGCATCTATCACAAGTCAATATCTCCAACTGATGTTTGGTTGTGCTCTACTTTAAATTACCCCCCATGTTCACATGTCAGGTTACTTCTCAAAATTTCCTTGCAATAAAAAATTAAATAAGGCAAGCAATACATAATGTGGTCAAGCAAAGACAATAGATTATAGTGGTTTGCTCACATAATGATTGGTGTTTTTTCTCCCATCTAACCAGCTGTGATCACTGTGAGAGTCTGGCTACAGTTAAAATTTTTGTCCATAAATGTGAGCAGTTTATTTCTTTCATTCTTCACGACCTTTTAGTTTAGATCTATACGAAATAAACAAAGATACAGCATTGGTTGGTACTATAGAGCTTCTCTCCTTCAATAATAGAATACCAGTCTTTAGTCTAAATACCATTTATGAGACAAACACCCTGCAGAGAACAGGAAAGCTTTGAATGGCTGTAATCAAGTTCTTTCTTTTGCTTGTGTTCGTGGAGTTACTGTAAAACAAACACAATCACACTGATGTGAAAGCAAGGAAGTTAGATAATCCGCTGATGGCTGGTACATCCTTTCTTAATCATTAGGAATTCATGGAAATGTGATGACTTGTTGATTATGTTTCTTGTAGTTTTAGTGTTCTAAAATAAGCTTTGTTTGTTACTGTCTTTCATTATTCCCTCAATGATATTTTAAAACCATGAAAATGATCCATCAACATACATCTGGCTCCTGTGAAAATTGCTAAATGTTTATGCTGTATACAGTCTATCTAAATAATCAATTACAAAACCAGTTAATATGAATTGAATAAGTTTTTAGCTTCTCTGTGTATTGACATACATTATTTATCATTCCAACATCCTAAGCTATTATATGATGTCCTTCACAGTATAATGGGAAAGATGTTCTCTATAGTGAACAAATCACTCACTTTAAAAACTTTAAACTCATTTAATTTAACATAGTTTCTGCTTGTAGTTTGATGAAACATGGCTTCGCTGTACTTAATGTATTGGCACCAGGGAATCCACTTGGTACATTGGCTTTCCTTTGGTTTATTGTGACTCGATTTGCATGTCATGATACATGGATGACTTGAGACCTGGGAAGAAGTGGCCAGATCCTGTCTAAAGATTGCAGCAATACACGCATAGTTGCAAAAAGCACTGAGATACTGAAAAGACCATCTTAACAGGTGAACTTTTCAGTTCTATTTTACACAAATCTGAAAAACTGCACATGCTGCAACTTAAAATTGAAAAAGAAATCTGTAAATAACACACATAAATGTGGTTTATACATAATCATATTACAAGTGAGCTTAACTTAATGTATAGTGTGACCTTGAGTGTGGTATAATATAGAGTCTTGAGTCTTAGCTACAGTCTCTAACAATCTTAAGTACATACTGTGTTCCCAGTCATGGCGCCAATAAGCTCATGAGAGCAACACACACTTAACCCTGCAACCCTTAACAACCCCCTAATCTATACACCCCAGCTCAGCCTGAGGTATGAGATATACTGTTCCCTCTAATGTGTGTGTGTGCCCTCCTGTGCATGTGATAGTGCGTATGTGCTTATACAGTCACACAGAAAAGTGTGTGTGCATATGCTTGTGTGTTGAGGCCACTACTCTTTTCCTTTCATAGCAGGGCTTGACTGCAGTCTTATGTTTCACTCTGCAGGGAGCACACACACAAACATACTCGCATACATGCGTGCACACACACCACATACACAGACACACATCCATCTTCACAGGCAAGTCAGTCATCCATTGCTGCTTCAACTTTGGCCCACTTCCACTGGTATGTCTGTATTCATGTATATATGAATGCCAGAGAGGGAAGAGAAAGACAACCAGTTGGGGGGCCATTTGGATTTCCATAGCATGCCATGCAGTGAGTTCACTGAGTTCACATGTGTGAACCCAGTTTGCCTGCACAATGGCAAGGTGGCCTGATCTCTTTCTTGTCCTGCTGCATGATGCAACACTGCATGCAGCTCTGGGCATGTTCTCTGTTGAGGTTCAGAGTGAAGAAAAGTTGAAAGCAGAAGCAGAAAATAAGAACATCTATACTGTTGAAGCATGCCCATAGCACTTTTAAATTGATTCTTCGAAAACTGACTTCCCGCTGAGTGAGATTAACTTGCAAAGGAGTGTGTGGATGGTCTCATTTTTCTGTGGAATAGAACAGATGATTTCACCCTCGTTAGTTTGTCAGTGATTCACAGTTCTGTATTATCTCCCTGGTTTTTATTTCTTTTTCTCTCTTTCCCTCTGTGGACTTCTTTCTTGCATGCTTCTTTGTAGAAATTCCACTCCAACCAGTTAAGTTTAGTTAGTTTCTTCTTCTATCACAGTGATTATTGAAAGCCCGACACACTGTCAATAATTAAAGTAACTAATATTTGTAGTAATTAAACATCTGAGGGCATATTTCTTCTGAACCACTGAGCTGAAAGTCACTTGATGTCATTTTACTTTCTTCCTTTCATTGAGTTCTTTCCAAAGTGACATACCTGTTCAAGTGTTTGAACTCAGCTGAAATGGGAAAATCATGGCAGGACAGAGTTTCTAAATGTGTTTTGTCTTTGCATGTAAAAGGAAAAAATTACATCATTTTGCTAATAACTGAGCTGTCAGTAGGTTGTCACATCCCCCATTGAAGTCACCACTGATTTGGCATTTGGTAAAGCAGTATTACATTTCAGTGATAGTTGATGTCCCCATTCTGCAATTTTCAGAAATGCCACAGCGAAATACACGTATTAATGTACGATTGCAGTGACACTGCGTCATATTAATTGTATTGCCAAACCTTATATGTCTTAGCATAATTTAAAAGGAATGTTGGCACTCTGATGGATTTAAAGACTCAGACGCCTGCCAGAACTCCACTTGATTTAATTACTCAGTAGTAAACGCTACTTCAATCCTGGCAGACTGAATTTACAGGCTAATTTATGGTTAAACCACACACACACACACACACACACACACAAGGTGCTCACATAAATTAACTTTCTACTGTCTGCCTCCTTTTCTTTCACTTGCTTTCTATCAGATGGGCCTTGGTTCAGAAAGCCAGCAGAGGAAAAGAAAGGCTCCGGCTCCTCCTCCCACTCCAACGTCCCTCACCCAGGGCTCAGATGATGCTTCCACCTCTGCTGCTCCCTCTCCTGATGGCCAAGCTACTGAAATACCAACCCCAGCCTTCCGCACTACGGTGGTACAGTCAACCACTGTCTCTACTGCCACTGTGGTAATGGAAACAGTGAAACCTGGTCCCATAAAAATAGAGGCACAACCTCCACCTGTGTCAAATGCCACCCCGACCCCCAGTTCCCCAACCCCGAGCAGCAGCACCACCGACAGCCTGGTTGTGCAGGATTCCAGCTCTGAACTCAGCCACAGCCTAGACGACTCAGATGCTGACCTGGACCAGGCTGGTTCCCACTGCAGCACCCTCACCAGTAGCACAGCGAGCGGCTCTGTGTGGGTGAACGCCACTACAAAAAGCTCCAGCAGCAAGATGGAGGAATCAGCCACCGTCATTGTTGTCAAATTAAAGGAAGAGGTGACGTCAGACAGCAGCTCCAGATCGGAGACTGAGTCGGCCCTTAACCTGAAACTGGATGAAGTTGAGAACAACAGACACAGTGCAATGGGTAAATATCTATAAGACGCCCTGACGGTAGACACACCACACAATTGTCAACATTTGAAGAATTCAGTTTACGGATACAAACACCAAAAGAACAGTTTGAAGTTTATCTTTAATTTTCCTAAATTGATGCTTTCCAAAACATATCATAGCAAAACAAAGACAGAAACGGCAACACCAGTAGACTTTTATCATCTTAAACCGTGGATTAGCAACAGGTATAATAACATATAACAGCATAGAGTATTTATATATCATAAAGACAACACTTGCATGAAGCTTTAGTGTAGACTGTTGTTTTTATGTATCGTGATGTCATTCACAATGTTGGTGTCGTCCATCAGTCATCTGTGAATCAACGTTTGATTCAAGGAACTGGAATATCCTGATTCCACTGGAATATCATCAAGGAAAATTAACTTGGCTGTTGATCACGGAATTTGTGACAGTGATGGTAAACACGCTGTCTGTATGTTGAAGAAGTGAGACAGTCAGCAGTTGCCTGTAGAGGTTTTTCTAACTGTTAGAAAGTGACTGAATGTCTGCCCTGGAGAGCTGAGCTGTCACACTGCAGCAGCATCTGAAACTTAAAACTGTCAAGAATGACATATATAACCTGCTGAAAGAAAGAGAGTGTGTGTGTGTGTGTGTCTGTGTGCTGGCGTTTGTATGCGTGTGCTTGTGTGTGCATGCGCGCACACGTCATGGCTGAGGGACAGGAACTTGCGGAGCTGGTTTTCATCATATCTTGTGAGACAATACAGTCCTTGTCTCTCCCTCACGCTTATCAATCCTAAACGTATCTCTATCTTCTTTCTCTTTTTTTTTTACCTCCCTTTCTTTCTCTTTTTCGATCCCCATTTTTATTTCTCTCTCTCTGTCGCTCTCATATGCATGCAGCCACTCACACAAACCTTCAAAGCTGGCAGATACAAAGGCAGACGGATCCATCACAGATTTAAACAGGATCTACTTGAACTTTAGTTGGCCTCATATTGATCTTTATATAACCCAGATCTTTCTCCGTAGCAAAGTGAGATTGCAGCAGAGGGTTGTCGTGTCTGACAAGGGCATAGATGAGAGAGCCGAAGACCTCAAAAGGGATGAGAAAGGTGAGAGTAGCAGAATGAAGTTGAGAGAACGGAGCATGGGAAGGTTTTGACAGAGGGATGACAGGGTAGCGAGGTAGAAACAGGGGGACTAGAGGGGTTTACGGAGAGAAGGCTGATGGACAGGCAGATGAAAGCAGGAGAAAGGATGAAGTATGAGGAGGTTAGTGCATTAGACAGGATAGAAGAGACAGCACGGAGGTCATTAATACATTTATAGACCTAGCTACTCCTTTTTTTTCTCTACCCTGACACTCTGCTGACAAGGCACCACCTTCTCGCTTCTGTTTTGCTTTGACTTTCTCCCCGTTTCCAGTCTTTCTTCTTTCCCTTAATAGTGTGTAGGAAAGTGTTCACTAAGTTAAAATGTGTGCTTTTGCTAAGATAGTCATGCTCTAAAAGCCACTTTCACTTCAACTGTTCTGTTTTTTGTTAGTTTTTTTTGTCCCACATATAACCTCAGTATCAACTTTTAAACTTCTCAGTAGCTGTAAACAGTTCTTCTGACAGCTGCACTATATGAACAGTGAAAAACTGGTATACACATGGGATCTACACAGTTATGTCCTGCATATACTGTACAGGATTGTGTCCTCATGCTGGTGAAGGCACAGGCACAAATGTACACAATACATGTATTCATTTATTTTGATTTAGTCTTTAATTTACATAAGTTCAATTTAGTCATCTATTTATGCAAAATTGCTATGCACTAATCAGTCACCACATTAAGGTGAAAAACACTGGTTATCTTTTTTTTTTTTTTAACACGTTGATTTATACCATTTTTGTCTCTTACTTAATATGATATGATATTTACTTTAGGTCTTCAAACTCCATTGCACTGTGCTAAAATGTCTGTGCCTTTGCTTTTTTAAGGCTGCATGTGTTTGTATATGTCTACTGTATGGTTGGCACAGAGGATCTGAATTAGCTTGGCTGAAAACAGGACAAGGATGTTTCTTTGGATTTATAAAATAGTTAAAAGCAAGTAGAATGTGTAAATACTACTACTGCTGGAACTTAAAGCAGAGAGGCCACAGTAAAATGTAAGCTCATGTTCCTTTAAGTCTAGTATCCACTGGTTGATATTTACAAACTGATTATGAGACTGGGGCACCTAGAGCAAGGCATCGATGCCACTCAGTGTAGCATGTGTGCTCTTCTATGCCCTTAGTAACGAAAAACAAATATGGCAGCAATATTATGAGGGGGAAAAATACATGAGAAACTGTTAAAGGATTAGCATCAGGGTAACCTTGTGCATGTGCGGTTGTGTGAGTCCTCCAATGGATGTCAAGGTTATGACGGAGTAGTTTATCATCTCAACCCTGCATGCTGTTTCAGTTGCTTCCCATTGTCAGCAACAGAGTAAACAGATAAAGTAGCACATTGACAGCACCTGCTGACTAAAGCACAGCACGCTGATGAACCACAAGGCTTTTAATGAAATTTAGGAAGCCGTATTTCAACAGCGCTGCTTTCCACTAATTGTGTTTTTGTGTGTATTATACAGTATGTTATCAGACTAATTTTGTCACATTTGTCAGTCTGCTCTTTTGCTCACATCAATCTTCTAACATGTTTTATATATAGCTGTTAAATCTAGTCTTAGCTGGCAGACTTAAAATGTATAAATGCATAATATCACAAACACTCTGGTTCCTAGAAATGTACATTTAACAAGTATTTGTCCATGAATAAATCCAAGGAATTAGGAAGACAGACATACTAAAAGCTTCAGTGATAACGTGTGCAACATTATTATTATTATTAAAGTTTTTATGGAATACAAAATTTTGTAAACAAAGACATGTCTAGGGGCCTGCTGCTGTCATGTTTCTGAAAACTTCAGCAGATACTCTTCAAACCTTTGTTGCCAAGGTTGAACCTCCACCAAACTGTGAAAATGTTTTGGTGCCTTGCTGGCCTTTGATTTCTGTGTCCGTGTGGAATTGTGCTGGTGCAAAGGTAACAAGCACAAACCAGGTTCAAATAAGGCAGTACAAAGCAAGTATTTCAATGGAAACTGAGCCACAAAACCACCACTGCTGCCAATCGAACAATTTTGTCAACAAGAACAAATTTAAAACTAGGAAAAAATGTGTAGTAATATTAATGCTTCAAACATAAATACAGTTGTTTATTGAAATATTCTCCAATTAGTGCTATGGAAAGTGTCTCATATTTAGATCAGCATCAAAAAAATAGCAATGTGGTGACAAGACAAATGCTGATAAATGAGACCTATATTTATATATAAATTGAGTCTTACAACATCTGGTGCCTGCAGGTATAAAAAGTTTCTGCTTCAGTTTATTAAATCCCTGCAGCCCTGAAGGCAGCAGGACAGGTATGTTGATAAATCATCATCCTCCCACTGGAGAGGTGCTGTGCTACACGGGGCTCTCAAATGTTTTGCCTTCATTATCTCAAATGCAGATTGCAGGATTCTACTTCAACACATCCACACTCACCCTTACACTCATCAAACTGGTCTGTTATAACTTGAATTCTGTTCGTTATGCAGGAGACGTCGGGTCACCGGTGCTCACTAATCCTTCTTTCATAGCTTCCTTTCCAACTTTTTAAAAAAACGTTGTTGTTTGTTGCACATTTTAAGCTACGACTGGCAAATTGCCACATAGAATGAAGTGGCAGGGTATATAAGATGTTTTGTCGTATTCCGAATTTTACTCCAATGACCGTCCATGTCTGCCCTGCCTGCATGCTGTTTTTTCTACAGGAAGCATTGATCGACAAGTACCACCCAAACCTCGGCGTACTCCGACCCGGGAGTCACCACAGCATGTCCTTCACCCTACCCTCACTCCTCCTCACAATGAGTCCACAGAAAGCCACCCTGTACAGAATCCCATGGAGGAGGAGGAAGCAGCTCCCCAGTGTAGGTTCCAGATGGACCTCATCCCCCTTTCCTTGATTCTTTTTTTCTTTTCTTTCCTAGAAGCTGCTCTCCTGGTTTTCGGGTTCTTATTTCATTCGTCCCAATCTGTACCAAACCTGTATGCATGTGTGTCTTTGTGAATGCTGAACTCTGCCCTCACATGCTTTCCGTCTCTCCATCAGCGACCTGGGCAGCTGAGTTGTTAAGTGACACCGGGTCCATATGAGGTCAAGGTGCTTCATATCTATAAATGTCAATCTCTAAGTCCTGTTATTTCTTCTGGGTCCAAAAGGTCAGGGCTGGGGTCAACACCAATCAACTGGAGTGCCTTTTATGTTGCATTTAAACAATATATGGGAATATATCAGATGTATAAAGGATCGTGACCTTCGCTTTCTGTATGTGCTAGATGGCTGGATGCTGTTTTGATTTCACTGTTTGTTTGTTCTGAATTTCTTTCTTTACGTGTTGTTTTTTCGCTATCCTCGCCAAACACAATTATAATGTTCTGTCCTTCTCAAATCTCATTTGTTCTTGTCTCTGCTCCCTCCCCCGTACCCTCCTCTGTAGTGTACTGCTGTGGGCCTGTGCGTCTGCGGTCCAAACACTCCTGAGGTCTCTCTCTCTCTCTGGCTTGAGCCTTCCTTCATCCCGACAATCCTTTTTCATCAGCTCCCTTTGCTTCTTCAAGGCTCTTCTTATCTCTGCAGGACTGTCCTTTGATAATCGTCATCCTCCTCTCATTCCTTTGAGAACTTTTTACTGCTGTTTATTCTGCGCTCTTGCATTTGATTTTGCGGTCTCATTTTCATCATAATTTTGATAATTTCGTTTCTAGAACTTGCTTTGTTATAGAAAGCTTCTGCAATTTGTCTTTGTGACAGAAATGAAAGCAAGTCACGTCAACTTCACTCATAAAGATTTCTTCTTGTTTTTTTTTGTGTTTTGTTTTTTTTTACAAGTATATGTACATACTGTGTGCGGTTTTGCATTTCGAATTTACCCACTGGTTGTCATTGATTATGCATGAGATCAGAGCTGAGTTAAAAGTGGACACAAAGAATGTGGTCAGAGGACTATGAGGCAAGGCCATGTGATAGCTATCAGCCAATATTTTGGTTATATGATAGCTGTAGATCGATAGCTGGAAAGTGTATGTTTCTCCGTCTGTGCCTGGTGTTGTGGTTTGGTTTAGAAACCTGAAACCTGAATGCATGCTGACTTTGGCAATAGTATGGATAGGGTGATCTATCAATGACATGTTACTTTCAGGTGGTAATGGCTTGTGTATTTTCTTAAGACGACTAAATGAAATACAAGACCTCATCCCAAAGAAAGCTTTTAGCAGTCTACTGTGAGAAGACAATGACACTGCACACTGGTTTGTTGTAGAGCTGTTGTTGTTATTGTGGATTCTTATAGTTGCATTACTGCTTTACAGGTTGTTTTCTGAACAATTGGAAGGAATCCAAAACTAAAACATCATATTTTTAAAAGTTATTTGGTTGTTTGTGAATTAGTGGGAGGAAAATTGACCTTAATAAAGACTGTTTCATAGAAACAGCTTGTTAATAGTTTTGAGCACTATATTATGAGGGATGTGTTAGAAATGCAGCTTACATTTTTTTGTGTGTTAAGTCAATGGAGCCTTTCTTTTTATATGACTTGTTCTGTATCATATAAATGCAAGCACTGCTGCATCACTGAATCTAAAGAAGTGAAGTGGAATTTTATGTTTTTGAGACAGGGAGAGTTTATTTTAATCTCTGATTACAGCAACCTACAAGGAAGCTTGGGTTACATTTTTATTGTACGGTAATCCAATTCTATGTTATTTTTAGAACTCTGCAAGTGTAACTTTGTTATGGTGCAAATGCATAGCATAATAAGGGAATGTGCACCTGAAGCCTGAAGAGCTAGATCAATGGGTCTTTTCTGTGGTTTAAAAAACAGAAAATGATTTTGAATTATGTTGTTTTTTCAATTAAAAAATTAAAGACTAGACGAGAATCCCAGGACTTTGATTTGGTATTGTGCATGGTTTGCCGTGGTAAGAGTTTGACAAGTAGCATGTCCCGGTTTTGACAGCTTGGGAATGGAGACACCTTTTATTTGGCTTTAACAGAAGCATGTGCCCAAGGTCATACGGAATTGGAGGTTTGGGAACTTTGCGTGGGCGTTTACTTGTGTGCAAGCATATATGAGAGCATAAGACAGTGTGTGTGTGTGTGTGCACTTGTCTTTGCATGTGTGTGTGAATGTGTGCTGATTGTGGCTGTAGCTGGCATGACTAAGCTGTTGCTGGGAAGGAGCTGGGAGGACAGCCCTGTGAGTCATCACCACATATCCTGGAACTGACTGTTCTCTCCACACCATTAGGACCAGACCCAAAACTGACAGGCCCAGTACACACACACACACACACACACACACACACACACAAGCATGCACACATAGGAAGACATATTGGAGCACAATGCATGCCCAAATACATGCACACTCCCCCTGACACCTGGTATTACAAACAAGGTCACTCACTGTTAACTCATTTTAAAGATTCCCATGTTGAATTCCCGCTGCTGTGCATGCTGGCTGGGCTGCTGAAAACCTAACAAATGGTACATTGATTTTTATTTTCTTGGCCTCGAGTTCAATGAGATCAGTGACAGACTAAATACGTTCTCCCAAACCCACATGACTGACCAGAGAATGAGTGTACTAAAGAGATGAGAGGGTATGAAGCAATACTATCTTTCCCTGGAACCTAAAACAGTACGGTAAAAATCTAATTAAAAGGGTTTGTTTACAGTAATTCCACCCACACATCATTAAAGATGTTTTATCAAGCCACAAGTGGTTGTGCTCAAGCCTTGTGTTTGGTATATTTGGCTTGTGTTTTCCGGATTATGTGTGTGTGGTGTCAGAATGAATGTTGAAGCTAACGTAAATATGTCCCCTGTTTCTTGTCTCTCATCTACCACCTCTTGATCTTTAATGCTCACTCTGCATCTTGTACTCCTTTTTAAACAAATTTGTTTTTCCCAGCTTTACTTTTCTCAGTTATGTGTTTGCAAGGTGTCCAAAGTCTGAGAAAAACAAAATGAGGCCTAAAAGGTGTTTTTTTTTTTTTTTTTGCTGTTGTTTTTTTTGTTAAAAGAATGCATTGCACAAGTAAAATACCTGTGGCCTCTATGATGTCTATTTTGACAAATGCCCTTTCTACCACAATGCAAGCCCTTTTTGAGTGTTTTCCTTTCACTAAACAAAACTTAAAGCCACTGAAAACCCTTTGATTTGGATGCTGACGTTTAGCATTGCTAACAGTTGCTAACACTTTTGAATTGTAGTGATGACACCCAGTGCTGATGTTAAGATTTTCTTCACTCCTCTCCCAGCTTGGCTCCATTCTGCACGGAGCTCTGCAGCAAGTGACCAGAAACAAGAAAATGGAGTTGCTGAGGATGAAACTGTGTCTTTGGGCAGCAGCAGTAGCAGCAGCCGTGGCAGCAGCCTGCCTGACCAGGGTTACGCAGCTTCTGAAGGGATGGCAGAGGGCGAGGACTCAGGAATGGTCAGTTCGCCATCCGACACCCAACCCACATCCCCAGATGGGAGTTTGTCTCTGGATGGAAGTGGCCGAGGCAGAGGAGAGAAACTGCTGCGACCAGTGCGAGACAGTTCCAGTGACAGCGATGAGGGATGTGCCACCTGGGGATCAATGCACAGGTATACAGGAAGTAATGGCAATCATGGAAGGGGGAACCATGGAAGTGAGTGGGGCAAGAGTGTAGGAAGAAATTAGAATGTCGCTGACAAGCATTTGCTGTTATTTATGTTTACTTAGTTGACCTAATTTATCATATTTGTCCATCAAGATGATTCAAATTTCTTTCAAGATGGTGAGACACACTATGGCATCTGTACTGGCCTCAGGAGAATACATGACTCACAGTGTCTGCCTTACTCATTCATCTATCTCACTGTATTTTTCCCAGTACTTATTCGTCTTTCAGTAAACTCTTACCCATCTGCTGCTGCTAATCTTTCCTAGTGTTATAACTTAGTTTTAATTCCACTTTAATTGATCCTGGTTTCCTGCCAGGCACAATAATGCATGTGCCATTCACCCTGCTGTCCCATTGAGCTAGCCTAACCACTAGTTACTAAAACCTGTATGAAATTTTGTAGTTAGATTCTTGCATTTGGCAAAGTTTTGTCTCACACCTGTATTTTCACATGGAGAGTGAACCTTCACCATTCCAGCCAACTTTAGTCTGTCCACATTTTTTACTGTGCCAGCAGTAATAACTGAGAGCAGTTCCCACCATATTCCATTTGAGTTGTAGCCAAAGCTGGCACCCTCAACTTTTTGTGCTGGGCTTTCATAGTTAATGGTTCTAGGCCCTTAATCAAAGGCCTTTGTGGAAAATGAATGCTGCTCCAGATCACTTTTCGCCTTTCAAGTTGTTGTGAAATGTGTATGGTAATGTGCCCAGACCAGGGATCTCAGTCAGAGAAACTTTATGAATCCAGGGTCTGGCCTGTTGCTGCTGGCTTCTCAGTATTCCAGGAAAGTACTATAACCCTGTTTTCTCCGAATCGTTGAGGAAAAGAGGACCAGTCCAAGTCTCTGTGAAGATAAATTCTATTTGGTTTGGCTTCCTTGTTGCAATTTGTTATGGCTAATATGCCACTAACTCATGAGAATGCTCTGTTGAACCCTTGAAGAGAGTGAAGGAAGTTTAAACTGTGGCAATAATATCTTTACAGCTGCATGTTTTAAAGCCAGCAGACTCCAATAAAAATACAATTCGACTTTGAACAAGCACAAAATATTTAAAGCTGACACATTTTTCTCTCTCTTTAACTACTACTGAACTGCATTTACCCTTTTGATTTCTAAAGGGAGATTAGTAATGGGAAGGGTGCTGAATGTAATAACATCATCAAATAGTCAGTTCATAATATCTGTTTAGTGGTAACTGGGTGACAATAAAAATCAAGCTGTACTATGGCACTATGTAGCAATTGCTTTTCTGCATTCTAAATGTTGCGGTACTCTGCATGTGTCTTTCTTTTATTGTGTATATGTGTGCAGAGGTTTTTGACACATGCTTTCATGTACCATTCTCAGGCACAATGACGTCATCCCAGAGTCACAGTCAGTCAGATTAAAAAACAGCTTTGAAGAGGACCCAGAGCTCACAGCCCAGCTCCATCAGACTTTGGCAGATTTTGAAGCAGACCTTGCAGGTGAGGGGGCAATGCCAAAAGACAACAATGGAGATAAACAGGATTTATATGTCTTCAATGAAGCGGCCTGGCAGTCCAGGCATGGTTACCTCCAACAAAGAAATTGATATATAGTTTATTAAAGGTTTAAGCCACTGTAACACCACTGCAGAACTCCATGGATGTGTCGTATTAGGTTGCGGTAATCCTGTAAATCGGCTCTTTGACATGAAATAGCGTTAAATGTAGAATGTGTGATTCTAGTCCAATACAAGGTGTGTGTAATTCGGTGGATGTCTGGTTCTGTTTGTGTGCTGGAAAAAAATCTGCCGTTCCTACACAGACATGGCTCTGAGGTTGGGAAGCAAAGTGGCTCAGACTGATCCACACAACACTCGTACATTTCCACGTCTTGAGCATGTATGTGGGGGGAGGGGAGTTGGGAGAGAAATTGGGAAGTGGCAGCGAGAGGTGCAGTAAATCTGGCAGATGCTAACTATTTAGAAATGTTGACTGGCTACATATCAACAAGCTTTCTCCAGCGTTGCAGACACCACCTTTAAAACATGTCACATTAGCCGTGCTAATATTCTTACATATCTAAATCAGATAATGTCCAAGGTACCAAAGTGTTCTGTATTAACCTCTTGATCTGTTCCTCTTTTCCAGATCAGGATGATATACTTTCAGCAAGAGAAACTCCCGATGCCATGTCCACTGACAGTAATGAGGTGCCGGTATCCGTAGTGGACATGGACGTGCCAGTCACAGCCATAGATGAAGTAATGGAGGTCTATGAGCGTAGCACTGTAGAACATGAGGCAAAGTCACTTACCAGGACTGAGTCAGCTGGCAGCAAAGGTACAGTAGGTAGGAATGACAACCTACTGTCCTTTAAATATGAACACAACTATTGTTATGTATGTTATTTTTATATTAAATTGACTTTTTTTCTTACCTTATCTTGTCACAGGTCCGGATTTGCATCAGACGTCAAGTATAGAGACACAGAACAAAAACAACAATGCTTATACAGCTGCTGTCAGTCAGAAAAAACAAAAGGAAAAAAGCAAAAAGCAGCATAGTAAACCACTGGAGAACAAGTCTATAGGTGATAGGATGGAAGAAAAGATGCTAGAGACAAAAAATAAAGAGATGAGTGCTGCTGATACCAAACGTGGAAAAGAAGACAAACAAATCTCGGTGAAATCTAATGCGGAAATGCAGAAAAAACCCAAGAAGACAGAGAAAAGCCCTGATCCTGTGAAAAAGAACTCTCAGTCTTTTCAACAGAAAAAAACTGATCTTCCAATGAGTCAGAGATTAGTATCTACAGAAAAAGAAGAAGAGAACCATAGAGTTTACCAAATTAAGTCCAATTCTGGTTCTTCACACGGTAAAATCACTCACGTCACCTCACGGTTTGGTATGAAAACCTTCACTGTGGTCCCTCCCAAACCCTCTGTCACACATACTGCTGGGGAACAGCCAGCTGTCCCATTTACCGCTGGTGCAATTAGGATCGACGATCAAGGAAATATGGTGTCATCAGGTGTATTCCGGAATAAAGTTGGAGGGTCTTCAGAGACAGAGATAAATCGTAGCGAAGGTTCTCCTCTTGTTGGACAAGCCAAAGCTTTTTGGAGCTCAAATGAAAAACAAGAAAGTGCTGTGATCCCCAGCAAAGGTCTGATTGATAAGGCTAAGGAGAGCACAAATGGCGAGAAAAGTGCCTCTACTGCAGTCTTTGAAACAACATTGAAGACCAGTAAGACAGAGTACCTGAAAACAACACAAAGCACTCTTTCTAAACCTGCAGAGAAAGTCCAGCTTATAGAGTTGGTGAAAGAAGAAGCTAACGAACCTGCGAAAGACGTCAAAGCTGCAAATGAGGAGTACAGTAAGGTGGAGAGCAAGATCTCAGTGTCCAAAAACATTCAGCAGCCAAGTATTAAACCTGCCCTTCCTCCTCCACTGCTTGCAGACATGAGGAGAGACTTGTCGTTCCTGAAACCATCAAGGCGAACCTCAAGCCAATATGTGGCATCTGCCATCTCTAAATATACCCCAATGACCTCAGCTAAACCCATCAGCACCCCTAAAACCCCTGACTACTCTGCTTCTTCCAAAACACCATCGCCTGGCCTCCAGAGATTGGGTCAGTCCATACAAGTGAATCCACACCAATCTTCCCTGTCATACGTGTCAGATAATAAGGAAAATGTCTCTACTTCCACATCCCGATCTCCTGGTCCTAAGAGATCTATGAGCTCCCCTGAATATGTGTCAGATACTCGGAGAGATTTTGAAAAATTTGACAGGGGAGGATTTAAAAGTTCTGTGGTATCCACCAAAGAAAGTTTGGGTTTGCTGGAAACAGAAACAGCCAAGAATAATCACATTCACTCTAGTGGACCCACCCATATAAAAGTGACCGCCAATAATGACAGAGATTACAATAAACATATCCGACAGAGAAGCCCCAGCCCAGCAAAAACCAGCACTCTGCACTCATATGCCAAACCACCCACAGCCCCCAAGACCATATCTCAAGACCAGACAAATGTAAGTAAAACTTGGAGTATAAATATTGCATAATATTGGTTTCTTGAAAAATAAATGCTATGTAGAATTTTTACAACAAAATTGTTTTTGCATATTACAGAACTTGAAAGACATGATCAAGACAGCCACTCCTCTAACCACGAATGGGAAACCGCAGCCTTCTGTCACAGTGACAGACAGTGCTGTGACCCCTCCTGCAGTGACAGTGTTTGGACCAATTGCAAAGTTCAAACCAGTGATCTACAGATCTGTTGAGAAAGAGACATCTCTGCACAGCAACCTGATGGAGGCAATCCAGACAGGTGGAGGCAGGGACAGACTCAAGAAGGTGAGATCAGGATTAACATAGTTATACATAGCTGGGACATAGTTGACCCACTGTATGGAGTGGTGGCAGTGCTAATTGTGAGAAAACAAGGGAACAGCATTTGCTCTTCTAGCAGTTCAAGAAACACATTATGCTCTTTATTTCACAGAGACATCTAAGAGTGCTAAGTCATGATCTTGGCTGGAAGACGAGGAAGTAATTTAGATTTTCTTTTCTTTATTGCATTATTAGATATCCACTTCTGGCTCCAGCAATCTGAAAAAAGGGCCTTACATTGAAGAGGAGAATGAGAGGTCTGCTCTTCTGGCTGCCATTAGAGCCCAGAGCAACACTGGCAGACTGAGGAAGGTAAAATACTCTCTTATTTATGCAATAACGCTACACTATGTCTGTCGATAACCAGGGGGATAGTTGGGAGATGAAGACTTAGCCTTTAAAAGTCACAGCATTAATTATTTAAATAATTAGGATGCAGTTAACTTGCTATTCTCTTTGAATAACTCCCCTGGTGCATTCACTTTCTTTCTTGGGTAAATGCTAATTCAGTTCTTTTTATACATCAACAATACTCTTCTTGTTATGTAAAGATCGCAGTGTCTGTTAGTCATTTGCTTCACTGCTTTGAATTTTAGGATAACTTTCCCCCAGACAGCTATTTTTTTTTTTTTTAGATATTTAAAGAGTGTGAATCCTAATGCCTGGCAATCACTTTTTTTGTCTAGGGCCTCGTGCAGGTCAAAGGTTTGTGTTATCCAGTGAGATATCTCAGCATCTGCTAGGTTACAGCAAAATTTGGACAAATCTTTAATGGTTACACGTTTCCTCTAGCATCAAAAACATACAATACCAGCTCAACATTAGCATGCTAACATTGTCATTATCAGCATGTTGCCATGGTGACTGTAGTGTTCAGTAAAGCTGTTAGCATGGCTTTATACCATGCAAACACATGTATTTTTTGCAGTTGTACTCAGCAGAAGACACATATTTAAAAGAGAATCGAAATGCTAAACACTCTATCTGTGTTGTTAGCTCATTAGCAACTCACACAGCCATGCATGGACCAGGTTATGCAAGCACGGTTGTCTATTTTCATCCTTCTGTGTGGACTGTGAGCTGTGGTTTGTCTGTCATGTAAGGACCCATGTGGAATGAAAGAGGCAGAAAATGTGCTGCTGTAGCCGAAACATCTGCGGTTCTATTCTGGAGGTTCCTCACCAGAACAGGAATCTTTGGAATGCTCCATGACTACATCAGACTCCAAAATGTAGTGTGTGTTACAAAACTAAATGACTATACACAATGGAGTGAACAACGGAAAAAAGTGATAAATGTAAATGTGTCCAGCACAAAACAGAAAAGAATGTAAGTAAAATGTACCCAGTACTTGCAGTTAAGCTCAAAGTATTAGTACATATTTTCATTTGGCCAAAAGGGGTCTTTCTGACTGAAAATGGCATAAATAAGTGACAAAAAGACAGTAAGAAACTATGTTAGACATGTTGTCTCAGTTTTTTGAGAAATTACCGTTTTAAATGGCGCTGGTTCTTTCCATCATGTTCCAGGACATTCTACTGCACTATACATTTAGAACAGCTCTCTAGTCGGTTGCTAGGCAATTGCAACCCATGGCTAAAAACAAAGAGCTTAGTGAGCTTGTTTTAATGGTCCATCACTTAGAAAGTTTTTTTCATTGTGGCTGCTCACAAGACAGGCTAGAAAGCCATATCCAAGTGTTTTCAAGAGCCAGTGACCACAGAGGAAAGCATAATCAAAAAGTACAAGGAGTTCCACACTGTGAAAATTGTCAAAGGGTGTGGTAGGAAGCCGAACGTGACCCCTTTGCTGGCAAGAATGGTAATACAAGAGGCCAAGAAGAATCCTTGGATTCTAAGGCCATCCTGATGAATCTGAACAACTGTGGTATCAACATCTTAAGGCCATGGACGCGGCATGAGGCTTGTCTTCATGAACGCTGACTAAAGACACCACTCCCTCCTCTCTCCAAGACACACAAAAACTCCCTAGACTATGCAAAAGCTCACCTGGGCAAAGAAAAATACTGGCAGTCATGAATTCTGTGGTCTGCTGAGACTAAATTGGAGTTGTTTGGACACACAGACATGGCTTTTGAAAGCATGGTGGTAGGAATGTCCTGCTTCAGGGGTGTATTTCAGCCAATAAGCTAAGCAACCTTGTCAAAGTAAACAGCATTATGAGAAAAGAACACGATGAGGAAAACCTCAGGCAGTCTGAACCTGCCAGTAAGACAATGATCTGAAAAAATAGCCAAAGGGGTCGAGAAATTGTTGAAGGAAAACTGTCTCAACACTTTGGAGCCCGGAACTGAAACCCATCAAGAATCTGTGGAGGGAACTAAAGACTAGAGTGATGTCAAGGAAGTCTTCCATCTTCAAAGACCTGGAGATTATTGCAAAAGAGGAATGGAACAAAAATACATGCAGCAAGCTTGGTAGTCATACAAAATAGCAATTGTAAAAATGTATCATGAACATCTCCAACACCAATGTCTTACCATCGTTTTCACTTCTTTATGTCTTTCCATTCGAAAGAAACCTACTGGTCAAAACGGAAAATCACAAAAGTTAAATTGTGGAATGGGTATGAACAATCAATAATAGTTTGGACTTAAGTGTATATATGTGTCAGAGCAGCTGACGTTCCCCAAATGAAAGACTAGAATTACCATTGACTCATTCCTTTATGTCCTACAGACCAGATCTGTGGCTGCTCATGAGCTTGAGAAGTTGAGGAAAATGGGTGCTGAAGAGGAGAGAAGTGCAGCCTCTTCCTCTTCTACAGTCTTTACCGCACCACCACCACCACCTCCACCAGCACCCATGACTGCACCTCCTCCTCCTCCTCCCCCTGTCCTGCCCCAGGCTAAACCGAGCTCTGTGGCACATCCAAACGCTAACGCCCCCATGAACCTTGCCTTGGCCAGGGAGGCTATGCTCGAGGCTATCCGCTCTGGATCTGCTGCTGAGAGGCTAAAAAAGGTACAAATACAGAAAAACACATAATCCATTCCTACCACAGGGTGAAGTCTCAACAATGTTTGTCTACTTTGCAGTAGTGCTGTTGGATTTTCAATTCTGCAGTATCTTCATGAAAATACAGTGATGAAAATAAAGAGAAACAAGTAAACAGCACACACCTCCCACTGGGAGAAAAATGGCATCAGAGGCTTAATGATATCTGTCTCATCTATTCGGTCTACATCAGGTCTCAGAAAAATACATTAACTGATAATGTGAGAAATAAAGTTAGTTCATGAAAACTGAAATGTAACAGCACAGCAGGTGATGAGTATGTTAGTGTTTGAGTATTGCTGTTCAAGACAGCATCATTTTACACAAAGAAGCCCAAAGAAGAGAGGGAGGGGAAAGAAGAAAGACAGACATGAAAGTAGGCAGAAAACAGACTGAGGCAAGAAAACAAGAGACAGCAACAGAAAAACATGCGAGTCGAACCAGTGTCTTCTTTATTCTCACATCTTTGGTCTGGTTTCATACGTCTTGCTTTGCTGGAAGACATCACTGGCAAGACAAAGATCTCCTGCGGTCCAGCAGCCAGGAAACTGAAAATGAATTGCAGACTGTAACACATACAGAGATTAATCTGACAGTTGTGCTGTAATGCTGCGTGAACATTTTCAAGAAGAGAAGTTCAATTTTAGGTCAGCAGCTGTGTAAAATTAGAGTTGCCAGAAACGTGAAGCATTTTTGAGTTATTATTTTTGCACCACTTAACTCAGACAGGAGCGATAGCAATGAATGAATTTTGTTAAAGGAACATGAAAAAACTGTGGACCACATCTAAATTAATTTAAAAATGTACTAATATATATACACACACACATATATATATATTCTTTTTCATTCTTTTTGCTCTTTTTTTATAAACATGCTCTACAAAACCCAGCATTTTCAGAGCTGAGAAATACAAACATAACATGCCGTATTTCTTTTAACTAGATCGCTGTGCCCAGAAATACAGTCCAAGTGAACGGCAGACTGGGAACCATCCAAGCAACCTCCTCAGCAATCCCTCAACAATAAGAGGGGATCCCCACAGCACCACAACGAGGAGTAATTTATCAAATTTAATTTTAGTTTTTGTACTTTGCCACTGTGCTTTTGCAACAAGAGTTTGGGAAAATGGTTTAGGGAATGTTGTTTGGAAGTTTTAGGAATTTTGCACTCCAGAAATTACACAAAAATTATTTAAGAAGAAAGATTTTGTCATGCTGCCTAGATAGACTAGATCATTAAAAGACGCTTCTATTTCACTACCAAGCAGTTGCATAATCTACTTAAAGGTTTTTGAGACAAGAATTTAAACATTTCGTCTTGCAAGAGGAATGTCACTCTGTTAGTAGCCAAACCTCTGTAACATCTGTCTGATAAAGGTGTCAGAGGTGAAAGGTTTGCAGTTATTGCCACTAATAAGATCAGCTCAGCTTCTAACAATAACTTGATGGAGAATCTTTGCATCCATCATTATAACAAATTGCTGTTCCTAAATATATATCTTGCCATCTGTACTTGAATTCAGTAGTTTTAACCGGAATGTTGTACAAAATATGTGCCAATGAAAGCAAATTTAAATAGTTTATGAGAATTTCGGATACATTTTTTTTTGTTGTGATTTTATTTTATTATTTTTTTTTTTAATCTGCCTTTACCAATAATAAGTTATGGATGCCTTAAACTGTTGCTCAGTCAGTGTTATGTATATGATGTTTGCTATAAAAATTCTATATAGGGTGCAATAAGTTGGATCTGCTGGTATTTCCAGATTTGAGCTACTTAATATTTCATTTTCACTAATTAATACTATTTAAAACATGCGCACATGTAAGGAAACAATGGATGTATCCATGTACGATGCTGTAAGTGTATTATTTTATCCAGATCTGGTCCATAATGCCAACCTCTGCAGTTCTTGGCTCTGGGGAGGACTAAAATGGTGATGACTGGCTAGTGCCTGTTAGCTAATAATGCTCTTGTTTTACCTTCTAACCTTAATTTATGCTGCTGTTAAAAATCGAAGGAAATTGTCACGCATGGTCAGTGCCCTGCAGAAATTTTCTTTTGCATTCCATTTGTGTTGCCGCTCTGCAGTGGCAAAACGTTTGACCATGCCCGTAATGTTTGATATATAGTATATAGTATATAGCAAAAAAGCTAAGTTGAACCTTTCCTTTTGTTGACATTTCAACATTTTTGAAGCACTGTTATAGAAATATATAAATGGTGAAGACCACCATGAGCAAAGAGATTAGTTCATTGATGAATAGGTCATTACCAGAATGTAATGGCTCTGTAATATAAAGCAGCAGATGTAGGAAAGCAGAAATATAGGTGATGTATGGCCTTGATTTAAGCATTATTGAATTTATTTCTGCTTCTCTGTAGGTATAGTGTGGATTAGCAATGAGGGAATGTGGACGCTGCCATTAAATGGTGTACAATAGTTGAAGTAGGATGTTCATGCTGAATCATCTTTAGAATTAAGAGGAAGTTAGGTAATCCATATTCAGGTATAAATGTTTGCTGCTTTGTATTGTGAGAAACATTTGAGTAAAGGGAGTTGATTTAATAGTTTTCTAGAGATTCAGATTTAACACTCAAAACATATTTCTAAAGTTTTATGTTATTCCTCGAAAATGACATCCTTAAAAGCTTTTTCGTCTTTCTTTTAATTTTATCCTAAAACTGGAAATGTTTCATTTACACATAAAAGCCTACAGTGTAGCATTGTATATTTTGTAAACTAAAGAAATCGTGGTGATAGAGTTGATTTATTCGACCGATAGCGTGAACCTTTTATAAGCTGTTGCTTTTTAAGTTTTACGTGCACATTGTTTTTTTTTTTTGGGGGGGGGGGTTGTTTTTTTTTTGGGAGGGTTGCACAGTTATTTTTGTTTACCTAATTTTTGATTCAATAAATAATTTTGTAATCAAGCAAAAGTAGCCTGCAGCTGATTTTTTTCCCCCCATGTCTTTGTGAAATTATATATGTAAAAAATGTGTAATATTGCCCTCCAAATAGCAAATACACCAATGCTGGATGCAGCAGATGGTAGCATGAACCTTGCCCTGGAAAGCTCTGTGCCATTCCCAGCACTGTGGTCGCCTGAAGACTGTGGTCATCCTGTTGTCCTTATGAAATATATTGTAACCTCTCTGCCACACCACAGATGAGCTACTATTCCGGGCAGCAGCTCATGGCCCTGACTCATCACTATGTGGTCACTCAAAATTACTCTCAAAGAACTTGAACCTACCCTGCATTCCTGAATCCTGAAACATTCGTCATTATGCCGCTCCACCTTCCCCCAGATGCAAGTGAATGAGGTAAATATCCCCATTTGTTGCAAAATCTAATGGAAATACACTGTGGACATGCACATCTGTTGTAAACACTATTTAATTTACTAGTGTGCATGCAAGATCTGATAGAAATTGAAGTGACAAAAAACTTTCTGGTAACACACTCATCACAAACAAATACAGATTCTCCTTAAATAACTGAAATGTTCAACATCTGTTTTTTTAGGGATTTCACTGACCAGTGCAGGATGATGTTAAGTTATTCCTAGCAATGGAGTAAGTGCAGAAGGGCGATCTTGGCTGCGTTGGCCAGAGAGAGCCGTAAATTCCTGCGGAGACCGCAGGCTCTTTTGTGGGTTAAAATTCATGCTCAATCTACAGCCATTCTAATCTGCCTTACAAATATGTGAAGGTTGTGTGTGTGTGGGTGGATGTCTGTGTGTGGGGGTGGGTGTGAGGGATATTTTTGTTGGGGAGTATGTACGTGTGTTGGGGCTTGTGCCTGCGTTACAGTTCCAAACCATTTTAACCATCTCACCAACGTAAACAACCGCTGAATCAAGAATTACCAGAAGGTCACACCACATAATACAACAGAAATATATTCATTCAGGTTTGGCTTTGGTTACGCCTTTTGCCGACCTCGCTGGTTGGTTTATATTTTTTTGCCCTAACAGTTTCACATGTAGGCCTGAGCCAGTTCAGGATGAGACTGCAGATGCCAGCCACCATGTTGACTAATAAAATTCAGATCGCATAATTGAGCCACTTTGTATAGGTTGCTTGGATGTGGGTTTGGTTGGGAATGGATTAAAAGTGTTGTGAGATTTTTTGTTTGTTTGTTTGACTCAACAATAAGCTGTGAACAATAAAAAAGTTTTGGAATCCATCTGTGGCAGCTCTTAATAAAGCATATTCATCCACAGTCCTTTAATGAAAGCCATTCACCAACTGACCAGGCTTATAATACTCAGCTTTGTTAGTCTTGACTGGCGGACTTATGAGTGATGGACACGGTGACATCACGCTATCAGCAGGGGTTACACACACTTTGTTTTCTGATGTTGCCTACTCTGTGTATGTATCTGATCAATCAATTTAAACAAAAGGCCTGTGTGATGCTGAATGTCTGATGAGGTGAAATCAACACAATGTGCTGTTTACTTTATGTCTCAGAGCCGGTCATAAAACGAACGCTTTGTTGCATGGTGGAACCTCAAATATGAGTGGCATGATGTGCGTTTGTATGTGAGTTTTGGTGGCTGCACGACGTCTGTTCTCCAAGTCTCTGTATCTACACAGCGTGAGCCCTTTGTTGTCCCGGTCCAGACGTATACAAACACAACTCAAAGCTGATGACCTTTTGCACTTTAGACTCCTGTGGTGTTTTCCCATCACTTCAGCTTATCCAAGTCTGAAATATTGTAGGCAGTATGAAAAATGAAGTGAATGCTGGGTTATCCCTGGTGTCCCTGCAGCCACAGGCAGAACTTTGTCTGACAGTACTGCTGGGGTTCAATTCAGGTCACTCTCTTTGGTGTATCTCACTCTTCCTACATTCATCTTCATACACTTTAAACAAACTAGTAGCCTAAATTACAAAAACACACGAGCTGGAAGTGCACCTCTGATGCTGCTCTGAGTCATATAAACATCAGAAGATCTTATGCAATACTGCTAGGCACAGAGGGATAAAAACACAGCAGTGCTGAGAGGTAACTCTGGTGCAGTGAGATTTGACCCCCAGTTGTGCAATTTACATACCTCCCAGCTACTGGTGTTTTTATTTCAGATTGTGCTTGTCAGAGCAGGATTTTAATTAAAAGTGGAGTGTTGTCCTTATCTTTAGGCTCCTGGTGTATCACAACAGGATTCTTTACATGCAGTCACCTTGGTTCGCTATATTAGTCCTTAAAAGTATCTCAAGTAATAATCTGTACCACTGTCATGTAATTAAATGAAAGCACAAAAATGTTACAGTCAGTTAACACACACTAGTTCCCTGTTTGTTAAATCTTTGACATTACATTCCTTGTTTTATGGATCTTTACAAAGCATAATCTTGTGGCAGGAATGAAAGAAATTTGTCTCCTTGGCCTGTTAAGTTTAGAAATGGAACACCAAACACAACTTTAAAGGATGATACACATACTATTTTACACCTTATTTTTATATTCTTTTTGATCAAGCAAGTTAAAGAAACAACAAAGTCTAGAACTTCCTAATGGTGTGCCTTGAACTCTTTTGGCTTCATTAAAGTAAAAGTTAATGTGCATAAAATAACCAGCTTTTGAAGAGTAAGCAAAACCTGCACAGAGCAAGAAAAGTCAAGGCAGTAATGTTGTACATGTCGTACAGGATGCCCTTACACTAATATTTAAAGCCCTGAACTATTTTTCTGTTATTTCACTTTATCCAACATTGGAGAATAACTCTGTGGTTCCAACACATGGCATCTTTAAAGCAGCATAAATGTCATGAAACAACCACGTTTACAATGTATTGGAAATGATAAAGGACAGGGAAATCTGAAGGCAGTAACAAGTGGGTCCATTTGCATCGTGTCGTGCCACACATCTGAAATCCATAGAGTTAATAAGGTTGTCAATGCTGGCTTGGGTCCCAATGTTGTCAAACTTTTCCTGAAGGGCTTGGCGAAGTGGACAGACATTTTGGGAGAACAGGATCACGCTGTTAGACACATCCAACCCAGAGCTGTCAAGCAACCACAAATGGGGGAAATTTTGGACATCCAAGTGCCTGGCAGAGGCCCTGTCCAACCGTATCTGTGGCATTGTGCCATTTAAACAAAGCTGCATTTTAAGGTGTTCTTTTATAGTCACTGGTCAAATGAGTGTGTCTGATCATTGCCCTTTCAAGGCCACACTTGACTAGGGTGTGGCTTAACTTCCTAATGAAGAATCTGTCAGCAGTTTGAAAAACTTTCTGGTTGGCTAAATTAAACCAAATTCTAACCAGAGCAACAGAAATTAGATTTTTAGCCTAGTCAGAAAAGAAGCCTATGTATGTATAATAATGAGGGTGGTAGGAAATTAGTACTCTAGTCACATGGCATGAGTCAGATGTATTGAAGCGACCTCTCTGCCTTTATAAAAAGTTACTACAAGCCACTACTTTTTTCACACACTTTGAACAATGCAGCTTAAACAATGATGCAGCTAATTTATGGATTTTTACGAGTTTGCCTCAAGACGAAAGTGACATTGAAAACGACAACAAAAAAAAAGACTGAGGAAGTGTGAAGTAATCCTGAGGCTGTTCAATTCCAATACTGAAGAAGACGACTTTAGTGGTTTGAGTGCGCAGGAGGAAGATGAAGATAGCGATCAATGATTTTTCCTGGTAGGCTACTGTATTTTTTTATATTCTTAACCAGCCCTGTTACAGGCACTGTTTGGAAAAAAGCATTTACAGTACGTATTTGTGGATGTTGCCAGGAGGTATTTAATTAAAAGTTTAAAAAAAATCTTTCTGTGTAAATATCTCATGTTACAAGGTAGACACATGAGGCTTATAGACAAGTGCAGCCTATATATGTACATTTTATTTTTATTTTTTTAAAGTTAGTGGGTGCCACTTATATTCAGGTGTGCTCAATAGTCCAAAAATTACAGCATGTTAAAATCACTTTTCCCTCACAATTCAATACATTGACCTGTTTTAAATCTTGAATACTGACACACACTAAAAGTCCTTATATCACTTTGTTTCAACAAATTTCTATTTTCAGCTGCTGACATAAAAAACAACAGCGGAATCCTCTGAACACGCCCTTTTCCCCAGAAGACCTGAACGCCGCATTAATCAGCCCTCTCGCATGTGGGCGTGGCCTCTTCTAAAAGGGGGAGGAGTTGTTTGCGCGCGTGTATGTTTGTGTGCGTGTCCGTGTGTGTCCTCCCCGGCCGCATGAGATGAGCTGCCTGCAGTCTTTGCAGCCACTGTTTTCGCCTCCTTCCTCCGCCACCTCCTCCTCCTCCTCCTCCTGTTCTCCTTCTTCTTTGCCTCTTGTCTGTCTGTCCGGTCGGGGAATATTGACCCGCGGTGGCCTGATCCAGCGCTGCTAGAGTCTCCCTCCATCTCCAGGACTGCCACTCTCCCGTTTTTTTTTGTTTTTTTTTTGTTTGTCTCTGAGGGGTCGTAGCCTGCCTGAGCTGATCTTGGCTGGAAGGTGAGTGCATGTTACCGGATGAAACTCTCCTGCTCCTTGTGTGTGTGTGTTTGTGGAGGAGGAGGGGGAGATTTAAAAACAAACAAACAAAAAAAAAGAAGTCAGAGTGGTCAGAGCGCAGGATACATGCAGTAAAAGTTTAATGCGCTGCTGGGATGACACACGCTGCTTCGGAACACATGTGCGCACCGTGCGTAACCGCTTAGCCGGGGACCTGCCTCCCTTTCTGACAACGGCCGGTCATTGAACTTTGAAAACAAGTTGATTCATCGGTCCGGGGCTGTTGCATTCAGCTTTATTTACCTCCCCTGTGTTACCTACTTGAGGGGCGAGCTTCCTGCTGGAGACACCCTCTGCCTGTTCCGGGGTCTGTAGGACGGCGATAAGCTGCCTGAATCCCGTGCGCTCTGCTACACCTTTTGACTGCTGATTCGAAGTCTCTCCATTTGGAAGCGGTGTTTTGATCCCAGCAGCCCGCCTTGTTTACAGTTGTTTCACAGTAACCTACAGTGGCCCCTAGCCTACTTTCTATCCAGTAGGACTCCAGCTCCCCGTGTTGCGCCCCCCTCCTCCTCCTCCTCCTGCCTCCTCCTCAGCTCAATTCTGTGAGAGTTTCGCCAGTCTCGCCTTATCGCCTTATCCTTTTGGCAGCATTTGCTTTGGGGGTGGGGAGGGAGGGAGAAGGAAGCGTTTTCCCAGGGATACTCGTGTAGTCCTACTGCAGTGGTTCCCAAAGTGGGCTCCGGGGACCCCCAGGGGCACCTTTGGGTGGGTTCCAGGCGGTCCCAAAGAAGGAGCCACCTCAGTCTGATGGAGGAAGTGGTTGAGAGAAGTGTTGAGCAGAATCAAGATAAAAATGCTGTCAGAGGTAGTGTGTTTGGAGGCTTTATCAAACTTATAAGTTGATTGATGTTCCACCTCTTCACTAAATCTGTTGTGAATGCATGCTGCAGATGCACCACTCTGTTGTAGACGGCACACTGCTCCACCTTTCTCCCCCTTTAAAAGCATACTGCAGCTCATAACATTAAGTGAATAGTGCAATATTCTGTCTGTTAACCAATACTTTGAGGAACTACGTCTAATGAAAGTAACAGTAACAGCCAGAGAACGAATCAGGCAACGGGAGATGATTATCTAGTCGAACTTTATGTGTGAACGTCTCGACAAAGCACCTTTTCACAGATAGTCTAATCTGCCCTGTCATTTGGGCACTCTTCCAAATCAATTTCTTTATTGGCGGCATGTGGCCTCTGCAGAAAGTTGCATAACCGCACAAATTTATGATTCTGGGAACTATCGATGTTGGTCTGTGTGCTTTGAATGCAGATCAGTGTTCTCATTGGGAATGTAGAGTGAGACTCTCAGGGACTGATGCCCATGGTAAGGTTTTATAGGTAATCCACTCGTGTCAGTGTCTGTTTTCCAGGAAATACCTGACAGTCTCTCTCCTGAGTGTTCAAGAATATAGCTTTCACCTTCCACTAAACCCAAATTGAGTCATTGATGTTCCATTTCCTTAGGTGACTCCTCTGTGATTAGCCTAATATTGAGTAAACCGAGCGGTGGATTAATACTGCCTCATCGCTTTGAGTGCTCAGTTTGACTTTGTTATTTAGCTTTTACTGAATATGAGACTGTTGGATGAATTAAATCAACATTTTTTTTGTGTATTTTTTAAAAATTTAAGCTGAGGAGGAAAGAAAGTACAGACTTTAACCTTCCTAGAGTGAAGTGAAACATGCAGTCTGTCCAATCATTTTTGTCTCATCCAACTCAGCAGCCCTCATTTGAGCACTTATGCCCTGTATGTTAACCCATGTGGCTGACTGTGAAGCAGCCTGATCATGTGGCTGCTGCTCCATACAGTCTACAACATGCTGCAGTGTCTTCTCAAGCATGTGATTTTGTTGACACTCTCCTATTCCTAACCAAAGAGGATTTCTCTTTTCCTTGCCCCTGCCAATTATTTCCTGCTTTCTTTCATTTAATTATGTTGTGGTCACATCACTGTGCACATGGCAACTGCTCGAACTGCGGTTTTCTTTCTCCCCCCCCAGCACCAGTCCTGCTATTTCAAGTCCATGCTAAGTAAGCACAGGCATGACGGGGCATGAACTCTGCAAGACTACAGGCTGCCAAACGGCTGCTGACTGCACATATTGCACAGAATTATACAATAAGCTATACTCGCTCTAGGATTCAGACTTGTGTTCTCCTCGAGAATCTAAAACGCGTCTGGTTCTGTTGCACTTTGGTTGAAATTCTGTATGCTTGGCATTAATCACACCAGAGGTTAGTTGCAAAGCTAAAACTTGAGCTTTACTTGAACTTTATTAGTTTTCCTGGTATACATGTATACATATGTATAGTTGCTCCTATTGCCTTTGCTTCTATGCACATAGTTTCAGCTGTTATCCAAGGGGAAAAGTGGCAGAGATATCCTATTAGCTCGCATTGGTGGTATAAGAGCTTGTGGTCGTGCTCTAGGCAGCATTCCATCAGGTCTTGCGTCAGCCAGCAGTCATTCAGCACTGGTTAGTCTAGGCTTATACACTGTTAATACCCTCTCCCTGATGTCATGACACCATTAACCCAAGCCTGCTGGGGGACCACAGCACAGTTCATGTCATTCCACTGACTGCCTGAGTCTAAAAGCAGAGCAACTTCACCCTGTGTACCAAATCGTTCAGCTGTGCCGTCAGTGGTCACAAAAAAACAATCCAGTGATATTAAGGGCAGCTATTTGTTAAAAGGTTAAGTTCGGATACAGTTGCATAAGTGGGCGTAATTTTACTCTCTCTTCTGTTAAAATGGGTTGAGTTTCCACATACTTGGCCCTAAAGCATACCCCAAAAGGTTGTGTTTGAACTGGTACTTGTGGTACCACAAGTTAACATCTCATAAGACTAATTTGACCACTTATTGTTGACATTACAGCTCAATTAATGTTTTATGTTCTTGGTATCTGAGCTATAACCGCTGAGTAATCATGTTTTGCTTTGTGAAAAGTCATTTCTAAGAACCTAAACTCTTGCCAGAGGAAAAACTTTGCGGTATTATTCTTCCCCCTCCTCCTTCATACTGTAAATATGGACCTGTACAAACCCAATTCTCACCACTTTCCACTTGTGACCTCAGGTGATGCAATACTTGTTTGTCTAAGTACAGTGGATTGAGTTTCTCAGTGTCTGGTGTTGATCCAAATGTGGCTGAAAGCCTGCGTGAGAGGCAAGAATGTTGCCTTTATTCTGTAGGTAACTGAACACCTGAGGGACCACAGGCTCGGGTGGATACAGGTAATGTGGTATGGATGCACGGTGATGATGAAATGATCTCTCTAATGCATAAGTGCACTATTATTTTTTTCCTCTCACCTCTCTCAGCTATCTTTGTCTCTTTGTTCATCTGTGGATCGTCTTTTTCTTTAGGTAGCGTCTCTGTGTCTCACTCGACCAGATGGGATCTACAATGCAAAATCAAAACAATCTATGGTCATTTGAATTTGCTCGATGTACCATGGGGTTGAAAAACAAAAAAAAAGGGTCTTTTTCAGAAATATTTCCCAATCTTAGAACAATACAGGTATTTTTCTGTTCTTGAACTATCCTGCTGCCCTGAACCTCATCCTTATTCTCTCTTGCGTAGCACCTTTGGCTATGTATGCATGTATTTTGCTGTACATTACTAGATTTTTGCCCCCCGGTTTTCTAGTATTATTTCCAGACTTAGAAGCGATTAGAGCTTAATGTGGTGTACTTTGGTACTTATGAATAGGACTTATGCTAAGTCCTTGTTAATGTGATTTTTTTCAGCCAGCCAAGTTTGTTAGCATTCCTAAGAGTAAGTAAGTAAAATAAATCCTTTTCCCCTTTCCCCTCAAGTGGTCGCATGGCACTCGAGGGCCTTTCTGATATGAGTTAAATGTCTTAGTTACAAGGTCACTTTTATTTGGGTTTGATGTTCTGTTTTGGTGCGGAGGATGATGCCATGCGCCTCGCGTTGGCTCGGTTAATGTTTTATCGGCCTTATGGTGTTGACCAAAAGGAGTTGTACTGTAACGGCTCTGTGAATGTTACAGCATCAGTTGTTTAAGAAGTTATGAGCCACCATATAGCTTATTGTAAAGATGGTGTCATGAGAAGGCGAATCTATCTAATGTAGCCCCCTGGGGCCACCATTATGACCAACTTGTGCACAAGCATCATTGCTCCCAAGCCTCGTCCATTCATCTATGCCATTGCATAAGACCAGTTCTCCCAAGCAGCCAAACGAAATTCTCATCCAATTAGGCACTGTCCACGTTTCCAAAAGGCCTTTCTCTCATAGACTGGTGCTATTCAGCCTTCCCCGGCATGACATCAGGCCCTCTCTTATAGCCCCACTTTACGCTGCTGCTCACAAATAATGAAAGCTTCCAATTAATGACTGATCAACATGTGCAACAAGCACATCCAGTGAGGAGTGACTACCATCTAATCTGCTGATTAAAACAGAAGACAGAGATGCTCTGTTCAACCCTCTCTTCCCGTCTTTTAGTGTTGCAGTGCTGCAGAAACAACAGCCGGCTCTGACAACCTTATACGAGAGGCTTGAAAGTTGACAATTACAATTTTTGTCCTAGAGTTATTTGGAATACTCCAATATTTTAGCAGTAGTCAGACTTGTTTGTTAGTTTAATAGCAAGCGATACCAGCAGGTTTTTATTTTTATTTTTTTTACAATTTTCAAATTTTTTATTTAGTATTTTAAAATGCACACTTTTTAAGAGTTTCTGTAGAGCAGAAGGATAGCAGGAGCCACAGGGGGATCACCCCAACACCACACAGTAGCGCAGTTAACTATGCACCACTCCCCGTCTGACATATGGCACATTTTTATAAGTTGCCCCGCCATAGGAAGTTTTGATAACTCACAGCGTCAGGCTAAATATTATCACTTAAGGTGTCTGGCTAGTTTAAACATATACAGTAGAATAATTGACCTCCCCTCTCTAGGGG